GGGTTTATTGTTTTGGGGTTGCCAGGTGGCTGCTCTCTGGTATGCGCTATGGTTGTCCACAACCCACAAACATAGAGCGTACTCCCAGAGCGGCCACTGCCAGAAGACTCGGTTTGGAAGCCGCAGAAAAAGCCATGCAGCGGCGGCGGCAACAAAGGTCCCCTGACTCTATGGAGAGAACTGGGCCAGGGCATCGTGAGGGTGGGAGGTGCGAGAGCGAGAGCGGAACATCCCGTCATGCAACCCCCATCTCCAACCGTGCAGAGCGCCATTCACTGCCATTTCGAAGGTGCCAAGCCGTGGGAGCCGGGCGATGGCGAACAGGTGCTCACGTGGTTTGGCAATATCCCTAGGTCAGTGAATGGCGCTGTGCCCGGCTGGAAAGGGGGTTTGTCGGGTGGTTGCTCGTGTGTGGTTGCTTCATGGCTGCTGTGTTACGCTGCTGCAATAGCGCAGCACAGCCATTTGCCCATGAGGCTGTGCCCAGTTCTTTGTCCGCTTACAAGAGATCAGCCGCCCGGCAACCCCCTTCTTCAGCTGGGCACAGAGCTGCTCATTACCCTAGTGGTATCCCGAAGGCGCTAAGCAACATGATCACCTTTGCCTTCCCCCCCAGCCCCGGTTCTCTCGGCTTGGCACCTTCAGGATACCGCTAGGTTGGTGAGCGGCACTTTGCCTGGCCAGAGGTGGGGGGTTGTCCAGGTGGCTTATTTGGGGGGGAGGGCTTATATTTTTGCCCATCAGAAAAATGTGGCATGGCCTTATTATCAGGACATGTCATAATTTCGGGAAAACACAGTACAAATCAAGAAATTTAATTCCTAAAGTTGACGAATAACAACTAAGTTCTTGGAATCTGTTAGTTTAGCAAACATGACAAAGATAGATAATGTTAAAACATATTCTTGAGTAGTCAGATATTTGGACTCTGGAGCAGTTTTAGTTGTGCATTCCATGAATTTGAATAATAATTAAAGAGATCTTGCATGTTTTCAAAAATATAATATCTTCTATGTGTATCTATTAATTAGCCATGTGTGACTGACAGGCCTCTTGATAAAGGAAATAACCTTTGGTTTTTGATCATTTATAGTTATTCCTCTATATAGCAATAGATTACTGAGGTTTTTGCAACATTGGTTGCATAAAGAAATATTGCAGTGGATAAACCTTCTAGTTTAGGGGAATGAAGCATTTTAAAAATCAAAATTGGCCAGTGTATTGATGTGGAATTGATCATTTATCCACATGTGTTAGCTCTAATTTGTTTTTGTTGTCCCTTTCAGTATTGCAATTTACACATTGCACTAACCTCTTATATTCTGATTTATCATAGCATGTGAGGTAAGTTAGTGAGATTTCCCTAAAAGTGAAAGTGTAGTTTTCTGTTTTATCTTCATCAATTATAATCAGTTCCTTCTAGTCCCTGTCTTCCCCTTTCCTTCTTTTTCTTCCTTTCTTAAGTTTTTTTTTTAATCTCACCTTTATTATTGCTCTCCTTCCTGCATCTTTTTTTCCACCTTTTTATTCCTTCAGGGAAACGGTGTCATTGATAATAGACTATTGGCAAAATGATAAAAAGTTTTTTCTGACCAGTGGCAACAGTGATAAATCAGACATATTAAATTGACATTTCAATAAACAGTAGTAACTGCAAGAATATCACCATTTAAATCAGTAACAGAAAAAGTCAATAGCAGCTACTAGTTGTTTTGGACGGAGTACATCAGTGTGTGATTCAAAATTTTTTACTACCGGTTCTGTGGGTGTGGCGTGGCTTGGTGGGCGTGGCAGGGGAAGGATACTGTAAAATCTCCATTCCCTCCCCACTCCGGGGGAAGGTTACTGCAAAATCTCCATTTCCTTCCAATCAGTGTGTATGCATGTGTGTGGGAGAGTAGTTAGTGATGATTAGGGTTCATATTTTTTACTTGTGAAAAATATGATCTGTGTAGTGCCTGATTATAAATATTAAAAACTCAAACAATCTTGTTGCTTTTATCTTCTCAGTGCTAAATTTTTTAAATAAAATTATGCAGTCTGTTGTAACTTTAGGAAGTATTATTTATTTCTTCAAGTCTATATTATCCTTCTAGTGTTTTAACTCTAGCCTTAGCTGGTTATAACAATTCTAATATATTATTCCAACAATGAAACACTTAATGAAGATACCGTAATTGGCACTGGAATTTCCATTGGTAAGCAATGTGATCATAAAATGCAACATCAATGATCGCACCATTTACCAATGAAAATTCTGTCACTTCAAGTTGTTGTGAAGTGAATCACTGCAGATAGTTAAACAAAGATGTCATATGATCATGACTTCTTGCCAGCTTCCCTATTGACCTTGCTTTTAGGAAGTCAGCAAACTTCTGATCATGTGACCACAGGATCCTGCAACGTAATTGTGAGCCAGGTTCCCAAAACGTGATCACATCATTACATACAATGTAAGTACAAGGACCAGTCATAAATACCACTTCTTCATCACTATCATAAATTTGAACAGTTGCTGAATGATTGGTTGTTAAATGAGGACCATCTGTAAATGAATTTGATAAATGACTTTATTATGATGTAACTTATTTTTATTGTGCTTTTTATATATAACATTTAAATTGAAAGCCATCTTGAATATTCATTTTGAACGTATAAGGGAAAAAAAGTTAGAATGTTATTGTGGATAGAAGATGTAAGGTTGATTGTTGGGTCCTTCTATTTCTCATAATGTAATTTAAATCATTTTTTTCTTTAATTTGTTTAGAAGCTGGACTTAGACCAGATTATACAGTTGAACTGTATAGAATAGATGTGGCATATTTTATGCGGCTTCTTAAATAGCAATAGCACTTAGACTTATATACTGCTTTACAGAGCTTTACAGCCCTCTTTAAGTGGTTTGCAAAGTTAGCATAATGCCCCCAACAATTTGGGTTCTCGTTTTACCCACCTTGGAAGGATGGAAGACTGAGTCAACCTTGCCTGGTGTGAGATTTGAGCTGCCAAATTGCAGTCAGCCGGCAGTGAGTAGAAATAGCCTGCAGTACTGCACTCTAACCACTGCGCCACCATGGCTCATAAGTCTGAACAGAAGCAAAGTATACTGTATTTTTCAGAGTATAAGATGCACCTTTTTCCCTCAAAAAATAAGCTGAAAACCGGGGTGCATCTTATACCCTGAATACAGCATTTTGTGCCTCCAAAACTCCGCCCCCTTCACCAAAATGGCTGTGCATACTTTTAAGAGGCTTTCAGAGTGCTCCTGGGGGCTGGGGAGGGCAGAAATGAGCAAAAAACAGGTCATTTTTTGTTCAATTTTGTTGTTCCCCCCCCCCACAGCTCTCAGGAGCACTCTACAAGCCTCCTAAAGGCTTTTTTTTTTAAATTGGCCCATTTTCCAAAAAAATGGGTGCTGTTTTGGGGAGGTTTGCAGAGTGCAAAAACTTTTTTTTTTAATTTGCCTCTTCAAAACCTTGGTGTGTCTTATGCTCCGGTGCACCTTATATTCCAAAAAATACAGTAGCTTTTCCCACAGACTTGTAGCTTTCTGCTATTTGCGACCTTTCGTATGTTAGACTACAGCTGTCATCAGTCACAGTTACCATCACTCATTATGCATTAGGTTAGTAAAAATGTTGGATCAACACTGAGTGGGAAGATGTGCTTCTGATCCTTCTTTGACAATAAAGCTGATTAGATAGTTTTAAGTCAAGCCTTTTTTTTTTGTTTCACATCAAGGATTGAAGAAGGTGGGCAGGAGGAATCACATATTTTTCCCTGAGCAAAAATGTCAATAGATATAGGCTCTATTGTATAGTGTTTTTAATGATAAACTGGCCACCCACATTTTTATTTTCTCAAGTAGCTGCATATAATTTTTCCGTACACTTTACTCAATGACCATAATCAAAGCTTTCCCAATTGTGGTCGTTAAGGAGGCAAAGAGCTGCCAGCTAAAGGAAGGAAGGCAGCTCTCTCAGTGTGCAGAAGGGAACTTTGGTTGGGTAAAGGAAAGGAGTTCAGATCAGGATATGAGCTTCATTTCTTCAGCCTTCCATACGAGTTCCCCTCCCATCCATGCTCTCTTTCCCCTCCCCAATGTATGTACTGTGGACTAAAGAAGCAGAGCATCCTTTCCGAGCTGTCATTTAATGGTTGTTAAATGACCAGTCGTAAGTCAAGGACTAGCTGTAGTGCACACATACTCAGAGAAGTCAATAGCAGTTCTCTTCTTTTGGAGTGTGGCTTTTGTGGGAAATACTCCTATAATCAGCTGTGACCATGTGGTTGTATATTTCATAATGTTATAATTTTTTTACAGAAAATCTTTCAGAAAACTGTTTCCTATAATAGGAAGAGAGGATAAAGTTTTTAATTTTTTTAAAGAGTTCATTTAAATAAATTACTTCACAAATTTTACTAAAAATGGAATACAAACTAAAAATGTATATAACTATATACATTTTATATACCATTTTAGAAAAGTTAGGAGACATAACCCGAATTAAATATTTACAGAATCATGGGAAAGTATTCAGCTATTTTACGTTAAATTTGTTTTGCTTAAATTGAAATTTGGTTTATGTGCTCCACCTTTCATATTCAGATTTTTAACTGCGATAGGTGCATGGATGTATACAAATATTAATATTGCTGTTTATGTGATATTTGAATTTTGGGACAGTGGGAAAATGGGAATATAGGAATCTTTCATAAAATCCAAAAGCACCATTGGTGGCATCTCACTCGTAATTTTAAATTATGCTCAATCTGGCAATTATTTTTCTGGAGCTGTAATTCACTTCATAAAAGATGGTAGTTGCTTCTTGATTAATATTGATGTACATTCTGTATTTTTCACACCATAGATACTTGTGTTTTCAAACCAGATAAATATTTTAAAACTATTTCAAAGTTTCTCCAGTTCAAATATCCTCTGCTGTGACATATTATTGTAAGTGGTATAGAATTGCTGTTGGGACTGGAGTCATTTTGATATCTGTCACAGCAGCTCTAATATGGAATAGGTGGAAAATAAGTAATAAAAACTATCTTCTAAAATGTTCTTATAAAATATAGTCATTGTCATTCTGTTTCCATAGCAGAAATTCATGCTCTTAGTTTCCTAAGGGGAAAACAATACTAGGTCAGTTAGTTGATAATATGTATATTTCTATGACTTGGGGGACATGAACTGTTTTGCTGATTTATTTATCTTTTCTCTCTTTCAGGAAGGCTGTTAAGCTGTCAATACGCAGCTGAACAGCATGCAGTCCTTTTGGGAGCAGAGCAGTTACCATGGAAACCAACAGAATTACCCACAGGAAGTACATGGTGCATCTCGGCTGGAGGAATTTAGCACTCGCCAGCAAGCTCAGATGTTTCAGAGCTTTGGAGGAGGTGGCAGCACTAGTGGACGGCGCGAAGCAACAGGAAACTCTGCATCTATGGGTAGTGAAAGCTCTGGACATCAGAGTTATCAAGGTTTCAGAAAAGAAGCAGGAGAATTCTATTACATGGCTTCCAGCAAGGATCCTGCAGCAGGAGGAGGACAACAGCTTCCTCAGCGTAGGCCTTCTGGACCAGTACAGAGTTATGGACCACCCCAAGGCAGCAGCTTTGGGAGTCAGTATGGAAGTGAAAGTCACGTGAACCAGTTTCAAACACAACACTCGTCACTTAGTGGAGTAACACATTATCAGCAGGACTATACTGGTCCTTTCTCCCCTGGCACTGCTCAGTACCAGCAGCCGGCATCTAGCCAACAACAGCAACAAGTGCAGCAAATGAGGCAGCAGCTTTATCAATCTCATCAGCCTTTACCACAGGCCTCTAACCAATCTGCCTCTAACACACCTCATTTGCAGTCAATTCAACGCCCTTCAAATCTGCCTTCATCTACTTCTACCTATCCATTAAGAATAGGTCAGTATAGTCAGCACTATCAGCCTCCTGTTTCTTCCTCTTCTTCATTTCCTTCTCCTCAACGGTTTGCTCAATCTGGACAGAACTATGATGGTAATTATACTGTGAATGCTGGTTCACAGTATGAAGGACATGCTGTTGGTTCAAGTGCACAAGCTTATGGGACTCAGTCAAACTACAGCTTTCAGACACAGTCAATGAAAAACTTTGAGCAGTCAAAGTTGACCCAAGGGAGTCAACAGGCACAAGGACAGGGACAACAGTCACAACAACAACAACAACAACAACAGACTCCTCCACAACATGTAATGCAGTATTCAAACACTGCTTCGAAACTGTCTCTTCAAAGTCAAGTGGGGCAGTACAATCAAGCTGAGGTCCCTGTAAGATCACCCATGCAGTTCCATCAGAATTTTAGTCCTATATCTAACCCGTCACCAGCTGCCTCTGTGGTTCAGTCTCCAAGCTGCAGTTCCACACCATCTCCTCTCATGCCAAGTAGTGAGAATCTTCAATGTGGACAAAGCAACATTCCAGTAGCATCTAGAAACCGCATTTTACAAATGATGCCTCAACTTAGTCCAACACCATCCATGATGCCAAGCCCCAGTGCTCAGGGTGCAGGATTCAAAGGATTTGGGCTTGAAGGCTTGCAAGAAAAAAGACTTACAGATCCAGGACTAAGCAGTTTAAGTGCCCTGAGTAGTCAAGTAGCTAATCTTCCCAATACAGTTCAGCACATGTTACTCTCAGATGCTTTGGTGCCTCAGAAGAAAAACTCAAAAAAATCATCAAAAAAAACAGAGAGCTGCACAAACTCAGAAGGTTCCTCTCAAGCAGAAGAACAGCTTAAGTCTCCACTAGCAGAGTCCATTGATGGTGGCTGTTCCAGTAGTTCAGAAGATCAAGGAGAAAGGGTGAGACAACTGAGTGGTCAGAGCACCAGTTCTGACACCACTTACAAGGGGGGTAATTTAGAGAAATCTCAGTCATCACCAGCACCACCATCTCAAAATGAACCTGCAAAAATCACTACCAGTTCTGCAGTTGAGGAAGAAGTGGCCTCCCCTCCTGATGGAAAAGAAGCCTTAATTTCTGTGGAGGTCCCCCCAAAGATCAAAGAAAAGACAGTTGGTGTGATAGTCTCCAGAGAAGCTATGTCAGGAAGAGTGGAAAAATCAAGTGGACAGGATAAATCCCAACAAGATGATGCTTCTACAAGTGCTCAAGCATTGCCTTCTGCCTCTACATTGAAAGAGACTAATCTTGTAGGAGCTCAGCAAGAGTCACAAGGTGGAAATAAAGGAAGCAGAACTGGGGACAGCAACACTAATCATAATGAAGATGGAAACAACCCACCTGGTCATGCTGCTATTGGCTCTAGTTTTACAAGCAGAACAGAGCCTTCTAAATCCCCTGGCAGTTTGAGGTACAGCTTCAAAGATAGTATTGGGGTTAATATGCAAAGAACTTCTGGTACCTTTTCACAGTATCCTTCAGGTCAGGATAAAGGGGAGTTTTCAGTGCATAGTGAGCGAAAGGGCAGGAATGAAAAATTTCCCAGTCTCTTGCAGGAAGTTCTGCAAGGCTATCACCATCATCCTGACAGGAGATATTCTAGAAATGCCCAAGATCAGCATGGAATCAGTGGAAGTTTAGAAAGTAGCATGAGACCCAATGTTCTGGTTAATCAAACAAATGAACTAAGTAACAGAGGCCTTCTAAATAAAAGTATTGGATCTCTTATGGAAGGTTCACACTGGGGACACTGGGATAGAAAATTAAGTGGCAGTACAGCTGAGATGAAACAGATAAATTTGGTAGATTATCCTATACCTAGAAAGTTTGACTTGGAGTCTACAGCTCATGAAGCTGGAGGAGTCTCTGAGAGAAGATCAGTTATTTGTGATATATCACCTTTGAGGCAGATTGCTAGAGATTCTGGGCCACATTCTGGAGGACATATAAGTACTGATGGCAGGAGTGGAAGAAGTGACCGTTTGACTTCTGGTTTAAATCAGTCAGTCATCCTCCCTGGTGGCCTCGTAGCCATAGAAGCCAAGCTAAAGTCTCACAGTGGGCAGATTAAGGAGGAGGATTTTGAACCTAAGACCTCTGCCAACATCAACAACAAAAAATCGGGAGATCATTGTCACCATGCCAGTTTTAAGCATGAAACCTACCGAGGGAATGCTAGCCCTGGGGCTGCAACACTTGATTCTGCATCAGACTACCTGCTACAACAGGATAGCCGAACAACACAGATGAGACGAGGACCTAACAGAATAGGAAGCAGCCGGGAAGGAATGAGAGGTAAATCTCCCTCTCAATTTCATGATCTGGCAGATAAGTTAAAGATGTCACCAGGAAGAAACAGAGGTCCAGGGACAGATCTTCACCAGATGAATCCACATATGGTGCTTTCTGACAGGGTCAATCGGAGTTCCTTACATACTTCTTTCTCTTCAAATTCTGAAAGTTCATCTTTGGCTTCAGCATATCATGGTAATTCCCGATCCCACGTTTATGGTGATCCTAATCAAGGATTGAATTCCCAGTATCACTATAAAAGACAGCTATACCATCAACAACAAGAGGATTATAAAGATTGGAGTAGCAGCTCTGCTCAGGGTGTGATTGCTGCAGCTCAGCATAGGCAGGAAACGGCTAGAAAGAGCCCAAGACAGCAACAATTCTTAGACAGAGTAAGGAATCCTTTAAAAAATGACAAGGATGGAATGATATATCTCCATTCTGGTTCTTACCATGACGTGGGGTGCCAAGAAACCAGCCGTTGTTTGTTGGGAGGTGAAAGCACACTTCAGAATAAATGCGTGGAAATTAAACACATGAATCAAAAGATTCAGCAACATGAATCAGGCTGGGATCTTTCCCGTCAGTTAACCCCTGGAAAGAACAGTGGCTCTCTAGGGACAACAAGTCAGAAAAGATTTATTTCACAAAATAGTGATACACATAGGCGTGATGATGTTGGTGATGTACTTAAATCTGCCAATGCCATGGTAAGAATTCCTGGCCAAGAAGATCAATCTCCTCAAAATCCTTTAATAATGAGAAGGCGAGTCCGCTCATTCATTTCTCCTATTCCAAGCAAGAGGCAGTTGCAGGAAATGAAAACCAGTGGGATTGATGAGAAAGGCCGCATACTCCCTTCATCAAAGGATGGAGTTGATAAAACTCTCAATTCTTATGCCCATTCTTCTCAAAACCAAGATGTTGGCAGATCATTCTCAAAAGGAGAATCATCTAAGAATCTTCCAAGTCCTGATAATAGAAACTGTTCTGGTGTTTCCATCACAAGCCCAGCTAAAACAAAAATTCTTCCCCCACGAAAGGGTCGTGGACTAAAGTTGGAAGCTATTGTTCAAAAAATCACCTCTCCCAATGTTAGAAGAAGTGCATCTTCAAATTGTGCTGAGGCTGGTGCAGATACAGTCACTCTTGATGACATTCTGTCTCTGAAGAGTGGCCGCCCAGACAGTGGGAATGTGGCCAATCATGAAATAGGAGAAGAAAATATAAAAGTAGAAGTGTTAGATCGAGAAAATCAAGTACTGACCAATGAAATTTCTCGGACAATATCTTCTGAAGATTGGCGTGATGATGGAGATGAGATTGTGAAAAAAGAAGTTTCTGAACATGTCCCTGTTGGCAAGGACGGTTCAGTGCCTATCTTGATTCCAGCATCTTCCCAGAAATCTGTTGGGCAAGTAAGAATAGATGGATCTGGAAATTTTTCTGAATCAAAATCAATTCCGCCAACCAATATTTTGGCTCCTGAAACAAGTGTAAAACCAGAAGAAAAAGATGGAAGTATCATTATGACACTCAAGTCAGATCCCTTTCCTCCAAAGGGATATTTCCCTTCTGGTAAGAAGAAGGGAAGACCTATCGGTAGTGTAAACAAACAAAAGAAGCAGCAACAATTACCGCTTCCTTTAGTGCCAGAAGCAGTGCAGCTATCAGAGGAGACAGTAGACAGTGAACCAAAACCTAAGAGACAGCGAAGGGAGAGGAGGAAAACTGCAGCACAACCACGAAAGCGGAAACCAAGACGAGCTGCTCCCATTGTAGAGCCTCAAGAACCAGAAATCAAACTAAAATATGCCATTCAGTCTCTTGATAAAACTGATACTAGGAATAAATCTTTTTTCCCTTACATTCATGTAGTAAACAAATGCGAGCTGGGTGCTGTATGCACAATAATTAATGCAGAAGAAGAAGAGCAGAATAAATTGATGAGGGGTCGAAAAGGACAGAGGTCATCAACGCCACCTCCTAGCAATGTGGAGAGTAAAGTACTGCCTAGTTCCTCTTTTATGCTACAAGGTCCTGTTGTAACAGACTCATCTGTTATGGGCCACCTTGTCTGTTGCCTTTGTGGCAAATGGGCCAGCTACCGCAACATGGGTGATCTCTTTGGGCCTTTCTATCCGCAAGATTATGCAGCCACACTGCCTAAGAACCCCCCTCCTAAGAAGTCCACAGAGATGCAAAACAAGATCAAAGTACGACATAAAAGTCTGTCTAATGGTTCCAAGACTGACACAGAGGAAGAAGAGGAGCAAGAGCAAAAAGAACAGAGAAGCCTGGCTGCCCACCCACGTTTTAAAAGACGACATCGCTCTGAGGACTGTGCTGGGGCTTCTCGGTCACTTTCAAGAGGCCCTGCTTGTAAAAAAGCAACCACTGAGGGTGGCAGTGTTGCTGAAAATACTTCTTCAGACTCTAAACCTCCCATACCTACTTCTGAAGGTGGTCCTGAGTTGGAGCTACAAATTCCTGAACTACCTCTTGATAGTAATGAATTTTGGGTCCACGAGGGCTGTATTCTCTGGGCCAATGGGATTTACCTAGTCTGTGGCAGGCTTTATGGGCTGCAAGAAGCTGTGGAAATAGCTAAAGAGATGGTGAGTACTATATATAAACAATCACATGTGTCTTACAACTGTCATGATATTTATTGCATTCTAATTGGCTTCTTTTGTCATCTCTTAAACATATTGGTACCACTGTAATTTTATGGATTGTTTACGTGAGCCAATCTCATAATTTTACATTATTCAGAATTATTTTGGATTGACATTCATTGAATCATTTTATGCTGTAATTAATGTATTCTTATTAGGCTATACATTTCCTTAAACAAATGATATTGCTGAGTTTAATGCTTGTAAAAGATAACATTTCCTTTTGGTCACATTGAATTTTTGTTCATGTGATATGATGATATGACCATGTGATACTGTACAGGTAATCCTTATCTTACAACCCTGATTGAGCCCAACATTTATGTTGCTCAATGAAGTTACCTTTAGATTGCCAAAGGATTTAGTTCAACTAGTTTCTATTGAATGTTGTCATTTGAGGGTAATTTTTGCATTTTTCATTACTTGAAATTAAGTTTGGGTGACTCTGTGAGTCTGTTTGTATACAGCAACCTGCTTTATCTTTTCTTCTCCAGAGGGTTGGGTTTTTAAAATTCCAAACATTCATTGATCTGCAAAAGATATATTTTGTTAGCTTTCTTTCTTGTACAAACACTTTTTTTTTCAGATTCTACATCTATCCAAATAATAGTCAGGGTGGAAGAGAGAAGAAAGAATATATTTAAAAATCAGATAACACAAATGAGTTCTGACATCTTAGCATAAATAAAGGCAAACTTGCAAGGACTTCTGAACTCTTATGCTGTCAAGATGTTGTTTGCTATAGAAGGTGAATGGGAGGTTATTGTGCTATAGCTGTTTCTTAGCTTGTCTAATAGTTTAGTTTGCTTTAGAGGTAAAGAGATTTTCATTGCACATTTTAAGACATCTTAAGAGATTGCTATTCTGGATTGTAAGTAGTTTCTTCCATTCATACTGAGACATTTTTTTCTTTCTTTGGCTGGAAAAATTAGATTTACTGTGTATTTACTGGTTTGCTTTTGAGTGTGGCACCTATAACTTAATTATACATTTTTGTTATCTTAAATTTATTTATTCATCAACCATTCTCACAAAACAAGTGATACCAGGTGATGTACAACATGGCTAAAAACTATATATGCAAAATTATTATTATTATTATGGTTCATTGCACAGGTCAGCTGGCTGTTTAAATTGGATTTGGCATTTTACCTATTGAGTCTTTTCCAAGGACCTGGATAGACAGATGTTTTTTGACAATGTTAAAGATATCATTGCAAGATGTAAGCTGTTCCAAGTAAAGCTATCTTTTGCAGTTGACGGATGGTCAAGGTTATAAGAGAAATATTAGACAAAAATCAGATGTTAATAACAATGTTTGTGGTAAGATTCATACTTACTAGTAGAAATTTAGTGTTAAATTCATATTGGAAAATTGAATTGTCCTTGCTATTTCTCCTAGGACAATAAAAAGGTTGAGAAACTAATACAACTACAAATACAACTACATGTATCTGAACACTAATAGTTCTAGAAATGGATTAGTTCAGTGGAATTTAGGTGATTACTATTTTCAGTATTTTCGCTGTTGTCAGTACAGGACAAAGTTGAAGAAAAAAACAGAATGCTATGAAAAATGATGTAAGTAGTTCAAAGACAGAAGTTACTGATAAAGATAAATAATTAAATTTAAAAAGTAGCTGCAACTACATTTATATTTGCATTATCAGGAAACTTTGAATTCCCACAAATTAGTCAAACTACAAAAATTGAAGAATACCACGGAAGACAGCATCTATTCCTTATGCATTTATGCGTTCCCCATATAAACAAATTTCTAAAAATGCTGATATTTAATTTTTTACATATTTACTTTGCACAAAACCTGGTAAATTTTGTGTAAAAACTTTTACATGGATACATTTATATATTAATAGTCAAATGAAAACTGTTGTCATGTTTTCTCATATATTATTGGTGTTTTTTAATCCATGGGAATTATTTGATTGTTTAAGCATTCATTTAGACATTCATATAAGAATATTTTTTCTTTTTCTTTGTCATATCAAATTCTTGAAGACTATTTGGATAGGTCCCTACAGTTTTCGTGGCAAGATCTTTCCGAAGTGATTTGTTATTGTCCTTTTCCTAAATCTGAGAGAAGGTGACTGGCCCGTGGTCACCCAACAGGCTTTGTGCCTAAAGTGGGACTAGAACTCAGTCTCCTGGTTTCTAGCCTGATATCTTAATTATTACACCAAGCCAGCTCCGAGACATGTAATAATATGGCTTTTATCAAATAGCAAAAGAAAAAGATTAAAGTTACATTTTTTGCATTATTTGTTAGTAATGCACATTTTTAAAATTAAAACACTGGAGACTGGACTGTTTTCTGGACTATTCCTTGGACTATTTCAGACACCTATCTTTCATTTCAGACACCTATCTTTCAGTGTTCTTAGGTTTGCCCAAAATTTGTAAAAGTAATGGCATCAATTTGGGCAATGTTTTCCTTGATTCTTGTCTTCTCGTTGATGTTGTCTGTTTTAGCAGGCCTGGAAGCTCCAGTGGTTGTTTCTATACTTTCTATCTAAAAAAAAGTTTGGTGTTCTCTAGACCAGGTGTGTCAAACTGGCGGCTTATGAACTGGATGCGTCATGTGCAGGCCACGCCCACTCCAGCTCTGCAAAGGGGGAAAATGTTGCAAAACGTCACGTTACAGTAACATGATGCTGCAAGTTTGACATCCGTGTTCAATTAAAAGGATAGAGCTAATCATCTTTTGTACCTGCTCTCCTGCTTCTTCAAAAAATGAGGCCAGGATTTCCTTGTTTTCTACTAGGACTCTGTCAATAATATCCCAAAATATTGTTTCTCTCTCTCAAAAAAAGGACTTAGTAGGATCATTACCGATGGTCTACCTCCCAATGCTTGAGTCGCAAATCTATGTAGCTAGCATGCCAGAAGCCATGAATCTGACTGCAGATTCTAAGCACTTTGTAAAGATGTGTTCCATGAGTCCTGCTAATGTCTTTTCTTAGACTTTTGACTTCTGTTTGAATTTATGAAAGGCTATGTGTCCAACTAATGTAGCTCAGGCAATAATATGTGAGATACTTACAATTCTATCTCCAATTCTCTGGGCTACTTCTTTGAGTACTGCTTTTAGAACTCTGTTGTATGCTGCATTGGATTTGCAATGACTCCACTTCTCTCTTTGGGGCAACTGATTTAGGAATCAATACTGCTACTGGTTCAGTAGTGCTAGGTGTTGGTAGCATTTGATCCATTAAGTATCATTAGAAAAGAGCCAGCATTGGACTTTTCCTGATGTGAATGTGATGTGAATGTGGCTTGGGGAGTCCTTTGAAGATGATTTCCTTTTCTTCAGAATTCCACAAAGTAGCCTTGGATGCCTTATATAACTCTCTCCTTCAGTTGCTTACAAAATATGGGGATTTCTCCTCATCACATAGTCTGTTGAAGGCTGAGGATCTGAAGCGTGATTGGCTCTTTCCTCCCTTCTTTCTGTTCTTGCCAGGTTGAGTGCCATTTCTATGTCACATGGTATTTTCACTCATTCTTTTTGTATGTGTGCTTGAAAAGGATTATGAATATATAGTAGCATGTTTGATGAACTTCTGGTAGGTTTTCCACCTTTCCCGAAGCCTAGCAAGACTACCTTCCTCCTCCTCTAGACTATCAGGGTGTATACTTCCCCAACATATCATCCATTCCAATATTCCATAGAGATATGAAAGATTCAACTGAGGTATCATTAATGTGGCCTGGACGCCTTGGGTGTTACTGTGTGAGGATCTTATCTGTGGAACAGTTGCCATCCATAGTTGCTGCAGTTGATGCTTTCTAATTCTTAGTTCATTGCTTGCCTCTGCTTTCTTTACTATCTCTGGGGACCCTCTGGCTCCTTCATCAGCCCAATTCATAAGACTTAGTGATGGTTTTGGCTCTGATGCTTTGGTTTCTGATCATGAGCTACATCTGTCCTTATGCTGAAGTACATCTTTGATAGGCTGATCTATCAAGTTTCCTATTGCTGGAATCGCTCTTAATTGAAATGCAGACACTCTTAACTCCCACATTATGGTATGTGTTGCCTCTTTCACCTCAGGTGTAGCTCTTTCTTTCTTTCTCTGCTTTTTTTTCTCCTCCCCTCCCCCCATAATTATTATTCTAATTTCTAATTCTTGGAAAAGCCACTGTCTCTCCCTAGACAGAGATTAAAGTCTGAAAAGAGTAAAAAATTCAAAAGGCTAAAAAGTTTAACAAGACAGCATGAGTGTCCTCAAGTCACCAGCCATTGCCCAGATTGCATCTTACTCTTAGACCCTCTATGCTCATTGGCAAAGCCAGGTCTTAACATTCTTCTGAAAAAGCAAAATAATGGGGGCTTGTCTCATCTCTGGGGCTAAGGTGTTCCAGAGAGCATCGGTAGCAGCCCATTTCCTACATACCATCAGTTGAAGTTTCTTGACTGATATGTAGCATACCTATCTCTCTAGCTAGGTGGACAGGTCAATGAGGAGCTTTAAAGGTAATAGCCAACACCTTAAATTGGACCCAGAAGTAAACTGTCATCCAGTCCAGCTCATGTGGGAGCAGTCTTACATGCAAGCACCCTGGGGGTTCCCAAAACAGCTTGTGCTGCTGCATCCTGCCTACCAGTTTCAGCTCCTATTCTCTTCAAGGCTAGTTCCAGATAGAGCATTTTGCAGTAGTCCATCTGGGAAATGTGTGGACATGTGTGATAAAAGGAGAGCTCCTTGATCCAGGAAGGCGTGTAACTGGCACACAACACAAAGTTAAGCAAAGGCCTTCCTAGCCATGACTGCCACCTTCTCACTGAGCAAGAGTCATGAGTTCAGGAGGACTGGTTGATTATGCACTAGGTCTGCCTGGGGCAGTGCTATCCCATCTAAGACGAAAGATGAGAAAGTCCCAAATACAGAGCAACCATCAACCCATATCCACTCCAACTTACCAGAATTCTATGGAAGGCTATTGTGTCCCATTCAGGGCCCCCATAGCCTAGTTTAAACATAGTTAAAGTTCCAGTAGATTTGTATGTTTTGTAATTATGTCTAGCAGCTACTCTACTTAAGGCTTTGTATTTGTTATGATTTCTTAGATTTATGCCAGGCCAGAGTTGAGAGTTGCAACGTGAGATGGACAGCATAAAAATTTAATAAATAAAACAAATAATTTTGAGTTTTATCTTCTAGCTAGATAAGGTGAAGTTCACTTTGTTTCCTGTTGACTTCATATTTGGTGATTGTGGATGCTAATCTTTTAACTTTTACACATGATAGGCAATAAAATCCAGTTTAGTTAAAAAAAAGATCAACAGGCTTGTACTGACAGAAATTCTATTTAATCCATGCCTAACACTTAAAAGTAAAATAATTAAATTTGTGGAGCTGGTTAGCACTGTGAAAGCCCTCCCCTTGTCTTTTAATTTTTAATAGTGCTTGCCTTTTTAAAGTTGTCTGTGTGTATTGTATTATATTGTTTTGTTTTGTTTTTAACAATTTATTTGTGCACCATCCAGAGTCCCACTATGATGGAGATGGGTGGTTTTAACATTTGTTAAATAAATAAATTTATTGAATACACTATTAATCTGTTATTTGGCAAAAAGGTTCCTCAGGTAGTATAAAAAATCCATGCTGATTTTTTTTCATAAAGACAAAAAAGTAGTTACGAAATCATTAAGATGTTACTGAGAAACCCTGGTTGAAGACTATCCTTAAATAAGACAACTTATTGGATGACCTTGGGCCAATTGCTGTTTGTCAGCTCAGTCTACTTTGTCAATGGCTGTTGGAAAAAATAGGGAGTTACCTATGTTACTTTGAACTTATGAAATAATATAACTCTTACAAATAAATTAATATATAAATAAAGCAAATGCTCTTAGTTATGCAACTTTTAATGAAACTGCTAGGAAGAAAATATTGTTATGCATTCATGTTGCTTTCTGGACTTGAGGAACCATAAAGATTTCCAAATGGATCATGGATCAGCTGAATTGGAATATCATATGTAGGTAATATTTATTTCCTGGGATTGTATGTCTGTCCTCTGCGGTTATTGTGTGATTCTAAAAAAAAAAAAAAAAAGACACGGCAGCTTTAACCTTTTTAAAGAGGAGTGGGGTTACAGTTAGTTATAGCCCTCCTCCCCACTACCAATACCTAACTTTCCCATCTTTTTCCTCTTCCTCCTGCTGGCCCAGAATCCAGTGCTTAGCAAGGGTGTAGCCTGGGATGTGCACAGCGAGCATGACAGGGCAGCATAGCCTCGTCTGCAGAGGGAATCCGCCAGGCCCAGCCATGGAAGAAGCAGTGGGACAAACAGTGGGATCCCCGTTAGTGGGCGAAGCTGGAGAGCTGCTAGCAGGTCCCCAGGCAAAGTTGAAGTCTGGAGTCTGGGAAGTGCTGTTCTGGATGATGGCACAACTGGAGGCAGTTAGAGGGATGCAGGCTTCTGAAAGCACAGAAGACGTTCTGCAGCTCATGTTGGAAGCACTCCTGGGAAGCCTTGCCCTGAAAGTGCCTCTGGTGAAGCCTCACCAACAGAGGTTTTGCAGGAGGCACTTCCAGAGGCAAGTCTTTGCAGGAGAAGCTGTACAGTAGCTCAGAGGCTGCTTTTTGCATTATTATTATTTTCTTGCAGCGAAAGCCTAGCCCAGCCTCACCCAAGAGTGCAACACAAAAGGACTTTTTTGTGCATCATGGCTCTGTAGCTTCCTTTGACTTCTTCTTTTTCCAAAGCCCAGCAGCCAGGCCCAACATACCTTGTCAGTAGTGGGAACAAATTCTGTGACACCATGATAAACACAAGCGTTCTTCATTTGCAGATAAATAAAATAGTGGTGCTGCTTCCATACTGATACTAGCACTAGCAAAGATCTACACTGGCAGATTATCTCAGAATGTGAAATTGATGAAGAAAATCATGCAACTCATCTAATATAGTACGCAGTGGATTCTTGTCCCTGATTAATATCAATAGTATTTCTGAAATAGAACTGTTTGATGCATTAAGAATATTAGATATGGGACAAAGGTGATGATGCTTTATTTTAATAAATGATCCATTCACTCAAAGTCAGAAAGTACTTTGTGTGGAAATTTGGGCCCCATAGTTTATTGAAAGAAGCAGATGGTCTCTGGTTCCAGAACTGGAGAGATTGTAACTATTATGTTGTGAGCAAACTATGGAAAACAGCAACAGCTGTCAAATTGCAGACTTATTTGAGGGTAGGGAAGCTGGCAGAAGCAACAGATGAGCTGTCCTTGGTACAGTAGGTGGAATTGCAGTTCAATAGGAATTACTTTTAAATGGGTAGTTGAGAGTAATTTTAATAATGTAGCAGCTTGAGCAGACTATTCAAAGAAAATAAAAATCTCTGTAATTTTTAAATCAAGTCTAGGTAGTTAAAAAAAAATTTTAATTAGGAAACACAAATAACATCTCTGCAATTTTGAATGCATTTAGAAAAGGTTGAAGAAAGTTATGTTATTGGTATGTTTGAAATATTTCCAGAACAAAAGCTAGGGAATTGAAAATTTATTGGCTATGCACTAGAAATGCCTTCTAATAATTTGTTAATAAACTGAGACCAGGAACTTTGTTCTCCTGAATTATTTATTATGTGTATAGGTAGCAAGTAATAAAATTTTAGTGTTTTGAACTCAACACTTAGCCCTGGTTACTTGCACCTGATGTTAATAAATTCAAAAGAAACAATCTTATCAAGGTTATAAACAAGTTACTGCCTAAAATTATATAAATTGTGTTAATATTCAAGTTACATAAAATATATCTATGTAGCAGAAATGAGAACTGTCAAGGTCTGGCAGATGTAACATGCACAAAATCTAGCCATATGCCATGTAATAAATAGCAATTAATCTATAAGTAGCATCTGGGCATGGGTCAGATCTAAGCAGTCAGGATAACTGCTGATCAGAGAGGGGATAAATCTTATTTGAATGTCTCTATCAATGGAACAATGAACCAGTACATATTCTGTGGTTCCCATCTCTCCAGAATCACAGGGACAGAGCCTTTCAGCCAATGGCATGACGTATGAGGGAGAAAGTTTTCCTGTGACTTTGTGAGCCACCTAGTAGAAATGACTATTTATTTAGTATTCACTGATGATAGTAAGGCACAGGAACAGGAGCCCCAAAGCACTGTGTGCAGAGTGTCATTGAGTTGTATGGAATTCAGGTAATTGGTTTTGTGGATTATCCTTAGAAATAGTCTAGAAGGATACCATGGTCCATAGTTTTGAACTATTTTGTTTGATTGAATGAATGACAGAAACTGGGAGGAGGGAAAGGGATAGAAAATTTATCTGTTATTCCCATCCTATCAAGGTTGGGTCATCAATGTTTTTCATATGTAATGATGGAAGGGTCCCAATTAATAGCTCTACTACTTTACAAAAAACATAATGAACAGGCTCTGTCTCCAAACACAAGCCTCTTTCCCACTAATGATCAAAATAAGTTCAAAGTTAGCAATTATTTATCATAAGTAAATGGGAGAAATTCTTGAGGGCAGAAATATTATCATATTAGAAGTAAGGTTTCCAAGAGTCTGTTGGAATTATCTCTTCAGAAAGAAGAAGAACCACTGTAGGACATTGTCCCTCACTCCAGTCCCTCAGAGATGGTCTAGAAGGATACCATGGTCAATGATATTGAATGTTTCTAGGAGAACAAAGAGGACCAAGAGGGTTCCAATCCCTTAACTCTCTCTATGGGTCATCCAAGACCACAATCAAGGCAATTTCCATGTTGTGAAGGTCCCTTTACATCTTGAAGCTTCTAGTTGTGGAATTGTGATGGATCTTCAGACAGCATTCCTTGAACAATAATAAAGGAATATAAATAATTCAAACAATTGCATTGTTACACTTTTTGTGACAATTACTTAGTAATAATTGCAATATTTCCTAAATTTTCATTTAAGAAAAACCATATAATTGTTACCTTTAAATCCATATACTAGGTAAGTGTCCTGGGGAAAAGTAACAATGGGACACTGTAATTTAAAAGATTTTGTTACCTCATCCAAAGATGTATCCACTAGGAAATAGAGGGGATATGATGTTTTAAAGAAAAAAGTATGATGAACTTAGTAACACAACAGATGAAAATTTACATATAATGGCTTAAGTAAAAAGATTTTTATATAAGCTATATAAAATCTATATCTATATTTCCATTTTTTTTCCAGAAATGTTCTCATTGCCAGGAACCAGGAGCCACCTTAGGCTGCTACAACAAAGGCTGCTCCTTCCGGTATCATTATCCATGTGCCATTGATGCAGGTAAAAAAAATGAAGTTACTGATATGACGAGAAAGAAAGAGACTGAAACTAAAAATTGTTTGCTGCTAACGTGACACAGAATGACTTACACAGACAAAAATAAAGAACATAATATGTTATATAAGAAATTACAAATGTTTAGGAAAAACTCTTTATTTTAAAGTATTATTTAAAATACAACAGTGAAGATTAAAGCATGACAGTATTTTATACATAAATAGGGCTTCTTGCAGATACTTTTAAAGGCAGAACTTTGAGAATCTCATGTGCCTCCCCCCTCCTTCATATGAAAAAGTAAGCTAAATTATATTTTTATATTAATATTTTAATCATAAGGACATTTGTCCTCCAAATATAAAACTGTATTCCCAAACTATATATGGCATTCTTACCCAACGTGTATAGATGATTGGAACTTTAAATAGTTCAGCGATGACAAACCTTTTCGGCACTCAGTGCCAAAAAGGTTGTACAGAAGCATCATGCATGCGTGCTTGTCAGGGGCCCGCTCCGGAAAAGCCAAACCTCCGGGTTCTGGCCCACATGCGGACCCAACAATCAGCTGGCCGGTGCACTTGCGCATGCCGGTTTTCGGCACTGCTGCACGTGTCAAGGACAGCTGATCATTGCGCACACATGCACACCAGGCAACATGGCTACGCATGCCATAGGTTCGCCATCACGGAAATAGGTGATGAAATCTATTTTGAATTGCTAGCTGCATTAACTACCATATATTTATTAGGTTTATATAGTGCTTTTCCTCTAAGGGCCTGCGGTTTACATATCTCCCTTCCAGTTTTATTCCCATAAGAACCCTCTGAGCTAGACTGAGAGACAGAAATCGGCCCAAGATCACTCTTTCCATGACTGAAGTTGACTTAAACGTGAAACTCACCAATCCTATTTTTTTCTACATCATAATCAGCACACTGAAATTTGGAATTAGTGATACCCAAATTATTTCATTTGCAGAGAAGATTTAGTAGGATAATTGTGTTTGGAATATTACAGTGAAGAGGAATTAAAGGGTTTAATTGTTTTAGAAATTTTGTTTGGAAAGCATAGGAAGGAATGATATTTAACAATGATTGGTTTTTCTACAGTCCTAAACAGACATGTTGAATTTAGATCACTTTTCTTTGTAAAAAATTAGGAAATGCTGTTTTAGAAAATAAATATTTTTAAACATTTCATAGCAGGTTTTTTTTACCTTGATTCATCATTAATTTAAACTTTTTCTACCAACTATTATTTATTAGTCATTTATTAAAAATTGAGTCAACCTTTAATTCAAGCAAGTAATTGCTGCTAATTGAATAGTCATGATAGTTCTAGGAAAAAAAGGGTTTCCAAGAAAAGTTAAAGTTTTTAAAGGAAAAGTATTTATATAAAAGAAAAAATGTCTACTGAAATCGAAAACAGTCAGGCTAGGAAAAAAGGTTCCAATAATGGCCTGTCCGCAGGCATCTTAAAAATGATGTATGAACTAGAAAGACTGTTGGACTGATCAGATTTATTTTATAATTGTCCATGTTTGAAGATACTTCAGTTTCCATCACTTTTTAAATTATAATAATATTCTGGGGAATCTAGTAAATATTTTTGAAGATTCCAGTTCAGTGAAAACTGTCTTTATGTGTACAATACCGTACTGCAAACTGTAGAATCATTTAGTATCTCTAAAATTATGTTAACTATCAACTGAAAGAAATTTTATCTTAATAAACTACAGTTTTTTCTTTTGCAATCTTTCTTTATACAGCTTTATCCAGCTTAAAGCAAATATATAATATATATTTTATAATATTGAAGAAAAACTGAGCCAGGATCAGAGGCTACAGTTTTAATTCTTTGCCATGTTCATGCTGACTTATAACTAAGATTCCAACAGCAGTAAAATATAATTAAATTACATAATTATACGTGATATATCACATGCGGGTTTTTTTAAATCACCTTGAAAATTGCCTGGTGGTTGTAAGGTTTTCCAAAGATTGCGTCCATTGCTGTCCAATAAACTACTAGCATTAGATTCACCTCAGCCCAAAGCACAACGGGGGGGAAAATTATACACAAATCTTTAAAGCTTAAACTGAAAGTGTATTTTGAGAAAAGAATGCCTAGGATATTCATTTTTATTGTTGCATGCTTCAGCTGAGAATCTGAATCTTAAAAGAAAAAAGTCATATCATTAAGAGGAAAAAAGATCTATTTGTAAAGGCCTGTTTGATCTAATGAAGTATATTTAAAGGGGAGAAGTGAATTACTGTCTGATTTCACACATAATGCTTAGCCAAGGTTTTTAAAGTTTAAATAGGCCATAATGGTTGCTTTGCTATGGGTTGGTTCATGTACTATATACCAAGCCAAAAATAAAATCAAACTGTGATACAGAATTGTGTATGAACCAGTCTAGTCAGTTACACGCTGGTTAACACAAATTAGCTTGAATGAATGCAAATCAATTCATTTTATAGCTAAGGAAAAACATTCAATGCCATTGTTAAGTATTCCTTTACAATTTCTTAATGCAGATTCTGAAATGGTTTGGTTCCATTTAATCTTAGATATATTCTGATATTTTGTTGTTATCTTTTCTTCCAGATTGTTTACTAAATGAAGATAATTTCTCAGTGAGGTGCCCCAAGCACAAGGTAACTAAATTGTACTTGGTGTTGCCCTTTCTTGGATTCAGAATTAAACAGTATTGCCTCATAATGCTTGCTAAAAATATACTTCCATAATGTTACTTACATTTCGGTCTCCATATACAGTATTTTCTAAACAATAAGAATTTGAAAATGGAATTTTAATGGAATTACTTTCATTTTTGTTTTTTTAACAAAACACTAAGCTTGGTTAATAATGTTTTGTAATATAAAATATATACTTAGAATTTCTTTTCCTTATCTCAGAAAATAGATTTGTTGAGGACCAGCTTTCTGTCATGGTGAATGAAATCTATAATATTATAAGAGAATAAGCTTAATTGCCCAAGTTGAGAGCTTATGTATATGATATAAAAACCATTTGACTTACATAATATTAACTCTTATAAAATTACCATTTACACAAAATTGATAATTTCCCAATAAGCATGGAATTTTTCAAGCAACATTAGTATATTTCAGGATAAATTAAAATATACTGTAGCATGCTATGAAATAGCGTTTTTTTTAAACTTTTGGTACAGAATTAACATTTAGCTTGAGCAGTTATTGATGATGTTGTTGAAAAAACACTTTCCATTAGCAAATACGTTACATTTCACTGAGCAGTTCCAAAAATTTTACTTTTTACTTTGAAAATCAAATCTATATCACAATTCCATATTTGAATTATTTGTTGCCTTTGCATTTTCTAATTTTGCAGTGTTTTGCTATGTTATACAGAATATACAATGCCTTATCTCTTAATACAGTAGCTTGTAAACTTACCATGCCTTTGTTTATGCTAAAGATCTGATCAGAGTTTAAAATTTGCATTTATTTTCACTAATTTGTTTGAAAAAATAAGATATTGTCTCTTGGTTACTGTGGTTTTTTGCCCAATGTCAATAACTTTTTTCTGGTTTTGCTCATGACTGAAATACTCATGGAACCCGTTTTGTTCCAGTGGAATGCTAAAGTGTTTGTGCTTTTATAAGAATGTCATACTGCAAAAAAAGGCTTGCTGCTTTAAAATGCAAACAAGGGTAGATACAATTCAAAGTAACTGAGAGAGAGAAGATTCTTATTTAAAAACGTTAAGGTTTGTGTCATAAATGAATTATCTATAAATGAAACTCTTTCCAGTTTTATGTGGCTGAATTAAATAGTAAAATCAAAGATTTTGTTTTGAGGCAAGCAAAAAGTCATTTCAGAATATTCAGGAGGAAGTTATTAAAAATGAGGCTTCAGTGTTTGTTTGTGAGAGTATATTAAAGTTTGTGGTTGAGGTTTTGAGACTTCAGTCAGTTTAACAAAATCACTAAAATCTGTTTTTTTAATTTAAATTTTAATCTTTACTGAAATAATGTATTCTAATTCCATGATTTTATGGTATGTTCTAATTCCATGATTTTATGGTATGAAAATCCCACACTTAGCAAAATAAAAATACTAGCTAAATAAAAATAAATATTGCTTGATTCTCAAAAATACTAAATGCTGACTTGCAGAGATCTTACCTGAAAAATCTGTATTTATTTCTAAAACTGATAGTGGTACTGATGCTGCTTTATCTCTTTCATGCTCTCTATATTCTCTTTCTCTTTCATCTTACCTTGGTCTATTGGACAACAGCCTCCCCTCCCTTGCTCTCTTCCCCCCTTGCAGAACAAGATGGTGAAAGGCAGCTTCAGCACAGAGCAGTCGGAGCGGGGTTGAGGGGGGAAATATATTCGTGGGAATGAAAATAAAGGCAAGCACAGGTGAGTGGAGGAAAAGTCACTGAGTTGCCCCCTCCTACTTTCTCTCCAGTTTAAGGGAGAAATAGATGTTTATCTTAACTTTCAGTTTATTTCTTTAGGGGGCTGGTCTTATGGAATCATTTCATAACTAACTAATAGTCATATTTATTAGTGCGGGACAAAAGTGAAGCGACTTTGCTTCAGTATCCTAAACAATTTGCCTTATTTATTTTTGTCTGTTAACACAAATAATTTTTTGTCATATAGCTATTTGAAAAATAAATTGTAGATTTGAGAAAACATCAAGTCATCTGCTTTTCTAATTGACAGAAAACAAAGCAGTTCAACAAGATTGTTCATGCAGTTCAACAATACTTGAGTTATAGAAAGGTAACTCAGCTAACTGTTGATAACTGGATATTTAGGAAGCAGCCTTTGCAATATATCAATCTTAAGTCACAGTTTTACGTTCTGGACTTGAATCCTTGTCAAGTGGAAGAAAAAGGCTGATGAAAACCACCCAGAATCTAAGTTTTTGCTGAATTTTTCTGCCCCCTTCAAAGAGATCTATTACTATTAAAAGCTCTGTAGAAACAACTCCTGAAAAGAGAAGGGTGGACAGGGCTCCTGATATTACTTTTACTTAATTTTTTATTTTAATAAATATTAATGTCACATGATTAGAATTTGAATAATAACAATTGGGATTATATAATTGCAACAAATATATCTGTCCCAAGAGTTTGTCTTTATTTAGTAAAGACTTGGAATAAAGGCATACAATCATCTTTCACAATGACATTTGATTTAGCTTAGTTAACCCAGAAGCTGTATTTTTTATGGATACTTTAGTACTGACTTCTTACTCTTTTTTGTCCACGCAATAGCAAAAATGTAGCTTCCTCCCAGTTAAATCATCACTGAAGATAATGTAAAGTCTTCTTGGCAAGCCTCTTCTTTCTTCAGTAAAAGAATCATTACAATAGGCTGCCATCTGCAACTACTGTCTCCAGTTGGGAAGTTCTTAGTCTTCTTACCTGTGATTTCTTTCCTTAGCCCAGCTGTAGAAAAACTGAAAACGAAAGTGTTTTACCTGGGCAGAGCCCAGAAATGCAAAAGCTGCATCAATCCTGAAACACAAGAGTTGGCTATGTGACTTCGCAATATTGCATGTGCAAAAATATTTTAATTAAATATTTTCTTCTAAAATGGATGATGCCAAGTCTAGATACAAGATATAGATATAGACATGAATAGAATAGAATAGAATAGAATAGAATAACAGAGTTGGAAGGGACCTTGGAGGTTTTCTAATCCAACCCCCTGCTCAGGTAGAAAACCCAACATCACTTCAGACAAATTGTTAGCCAAATAAAAAATGAGTTAATTGAGAATATAAGGAAAATAAGAAAAGGCAACCTCTCTCTCACACACCCACACATACATTAACGAAATCAGAATAATCCAGCCTAGGTCATATATTTATTTATTAATGCTTGTACTTAACACATGTTCATTGCATTGTGAAAAAAGATAGTTGGGAAGAGAGCATCTGAATCTTCTGCTTATGCCTTTGTAAGTAGCTTGTCTCCTCCTCCTCCTCTTCCTCCTCCTCTTTCTATGAGCACTTTACAAATGTGTGGATTTTGAAGTGACTGTTGCATTGTCCAGTTAATAATAGCACTCTTACGTGTCTTGCTCTGATCATCAAATTAGAAATTATCTAGCTTAAATCTGCCCTCCTGAGAATTACAAAGGTACAGTCCAGTTTTTACCAGTTTTGCCTTTCTATAAATGGGAGAGACTGAGGAAGCAGAAGCTGAATTCCAGCTATTCAAGTGTCTTGGCATGGGAATAATTAATTAGATGCTTTGGGGAAAATTGTAGTATTATATCAGGATTAATGTGTGTGTGTCCCCCCCCCCCCGGTAAGTAGACAGCTAACTAGTACAAGAAATGGGTTTTGATTCATGATACATACTTACTGTAGGTGGGTATCTTCAGTTTGACGTCATTTCTAATGCAAATTGGTATGTTTCATTCTTTAGAAACTCTGGTAATTAAAGTCTAAAATGTTGTTAAAACCTTACATTGCAGACATTCATTGGTTTTTAGAAGCAGCAGAGAAATAAGAGTAGCATTTTTGCAATTTATGTAGATCTAATGACTCAAGTTTAATAAGGACATTTTTGCAGATATTCATTGTTTCTCCCCTCTTCCCATTCTAGATTAAATTTCTGAATTCCAAAAAAGCCCTCACAATTTTTTTTCAGTTGAAACAATAGGAATAGGAAACTACTGTGTTTCCCCGAAAATAAGACAGGGTTTTATTTATTTTTGACCCCCATAATAAGGGCTTCACCTTTTCAGGGGGGAGGGGCTTATTATTTTCTGGCAGATGGGGTGGGCGAGAAGTGCCTCTTATCTTTCCAGCTCTGTTGCATTCCTCGCTGTTGTGTCCAAGGAAACACGTTGTAAAAAACCCCTTGCAATTTCAAACTTCTCAAACTTGCAAGAAGGTTTTTTACAACATGTTTCCCTGGACACAATGGCAAGGAACACGACAGAGCTGGAAAGGTAAGACATGAGCCTCACGCTGGGGTGCAATTTTTGGATTGGCAGGTGGGAGAGGGGATGGGTAAGGGCGGAGGCTCCTGTAACCTGCCCATTCCCTGTCAGAACAGCAAATCTTCACTACCTGCCGGAGAATGAGACGGCGGGAACCAAGCACATTCCTGCGCCTTGAAAACAGCTTCGCCCGGGTACTGGTGCAGGGGCTGGTGATGACCGTGGCCACCGGCAGCATGAGGGTGTTGGTGGTGCCCGACCTGCTGCAGGCCGGGAGGACAAAGGTGCTGGGATTGGCCGTGGGTGGCCGCTATCTGCTTGATCATCAGCACCGCATTCTGGTGCTGCTGCAGAGCCGCCTGGAGATCCGAGTCCAGCGGCAGAAAATGCTCGGGCACCAGCAACATGAAGTCCCCTGGTATGCCAGGATATGGGAGGGTGACAGGTGGCTCTCCAGGGTGGCCACCCTGTGCATGCCTGTGCTACCCCTGCTGCCCCCACTCCACGTCAAAACGTGGTGAGGTTCACGTGAGGGGTGGGGGAACATGTCAAAGTGCTGCAATCACTGGTTGGATGGCTGCTGGGGCACATTGAAAAGTGGTTCTCCCAGGCTGGAGAAATGCTGGGGGAGTTGGGGGTTGGGTGCTGCAGGCCCTGGTTCTCTAGCCATTGGATGGGATACTCAAAGTGGCCGTGCTGTGCCTGCAAAATCAGCCCGCTACCATCCTGCAGATTGGACTTGGCGGTGCTTCCCTCTGGACACTGCTGTGGCCGCAGGGAAGGAATTCTGCCTGGCCAGGAGAGCTGAGGGTGGTGGCTGACCTCCCAAATAGCCGAGTAGGCACCCGCCGTGCAAGCAGGAGGCGCTGGGTTTGGGCCCAAAGCTACCGCCAAAGTAGGAGACCAGTGGTTGGGTCTGGTGGCAGGCTGCCAAATAATCTGTAGATCGGCTGGGCCTGGCCCAACTCCAGAGGACCGCAGCAGGGGGCGTGGAAACCACCGTAGCCTTCCCCAGACAAAATCAGGTTCATGGTCAGTAGAGTCGAAGAGGGCTCACCCAGGGCATTTAGGCTGCTGGTTCGTCACCGCCACCGTGAAAGGGTAATGGCGTGTGGGATGTGTGGGGCATGTCCCCCCTTCCTAGAGGAAATGGTGGTGACCAGCTGCGCATGCGTTTTAATAGTTTTGGGGGGGGACTAATTGGGGGGGGGTATATTAACCCATGCCCTGAAAAGCTCGATTGGGCTTATTACTAGGACATGTCCTATTTTCAGGGAAACACGGTACTAAACTGCTAAAAAATTGCTATGTGCACAATCTGAAAAAAAATGGAAATATTATATTTCCAATTCTTTGTGTCTAAATATTTTCTACTTGTGATTTTATGTTCATATTTGGGGTTTTAAAGCAGCCCCAAGTACATTGATTTGAGTTTAGCACATAGAAAAATTAATTTTAAAATACAATAGTTTCCTGGACATGCAATATGATTACATTAATAAATATATTAAAATGTTTGTTAAAACTTTATTTTAACTTGGTATCCTCCACGTGTTTTGATTTTTAATTCACATTCAGCTCCCTCAGCAGAAAATTGAGAAGATATTAAGTAGGGAAAATTGATTTACCAGAAGTTGATACTTGAAGTTAAATTGGATATAACATCATACTTGTATATTAGTTTGCAAGGGATCTTGGATCAGCTTTCCTAAGGTTGGTGCCTTCAGGATATGTAGTTTAGCTAACTAGGGAATGATAGACATTGTAATCAAAATATCTGGAAGGTTACATAGGATTGAATTAAACAAACATTAACTAATTGTGTGGTTTACAGGTGAAACTCGAAAAATTAGAATATCGTGCAAAAGTTCATTTATTTCAGTAATGCAACTTAAAAGGTGAATAATATATGAGATAAGACTCATTACATGCAACTTTTGCATCTTATTTGGAAACCAAGGACCCAGAGTATGGAGGAAGAATGGAGAGGCCAAACAAGCACAGTAATCCCACAGTCGTTGAACCAGGTTTTGGTGCTTTTGGCAAAAGTTGCTCTCATCAGAAAAGAGGACTTTGGACCAATGAGCAACAAGACTTTGGA